ACCTGAGCCGAAGGCAGTCGCTTAACCAACTGAGCCACCCAGGCGCCCCAGAGTTGGGAGTTTTAATGGCAGTGTGTGTGACACCTGTGTGGTAAGTAAGAAGGAGAAAAATATTCATTTTCTCAACTGAAGCAGGAGGGCATATAGAGCGTTGGCTCTCCGGGCCTGCATGATGAAAGGGAGCTGCTCTCCATTTGCCCAGGGGGTTGGCAGCGGGAGAAGAGGTGTGCACATTCTCTCTCACACTTACATAGAGGAATGCACAAGCCCCGTGTACAATTAAAGTTCCATCCTGTGGACCACAGTGAGAAACTAAAACCACATAAACCTTCTGACTGTGGTTCTTAGCATTTCCTTGAGTCATGGCTTTAAAATCGCTATACAATGCTAGCTCAGTATTTCGACTTTTGGGTCAGTGCCCATCTGTGTCTCAAAACAGACACGAGGTCCATAAACCAGTGTTGAATTAATCTGATCTCCTTGGAAGTGATTCTGGCCAGTGGTGAGGGAAACTGTTCATTACCTGTAGATTCTTTATTCTAACGGCTCGTTCCACAGCCAGCAGCACAACGCTAGTGGTTGCCAGGGACGCCGTGGCCTGTCTCAGAGACTGGCATGTTTTTTTCCTAAAGGGTCAGATAATAAATATTCCCCACTTTGGGGGGCCATATGGTCTGGATCGCAGCTACTCAGCTCTGCAACTGTAGCACGAGAGGCGTCATAATAATACATCAGCGAGTGGAAGTGGCTGTGTTTTGAGCAAATGTTATTGACAAAGGCAGGAAGTGGGTGGGATTTGGCCCCTGGGCCATAGATTGCTGACCCCTGGTCTATGTGTATGGTGACTCCTGGAGTCAGGCAGGACGTAACCATTCGTGAGGACCCCAAGGTGAAGTCCACCCTGAAGCTGACCAGTGCTGCGGCCACCCAAGGACTCCCAGAAGAGAAAATCTGAACTGAGACCAAAAATGCCTTTGAAATAAAATGGCTTTTGAAATAGAAAGTGAGCAGATGGTGAGATGGGCTGAGGTTGAGGCTGGATTCAAGAGCCAGAGTAAGTGGCTGTTGTGAGGATGTGCATGTTGTAATGGAATGATGAGATGTTAATACATGGTCCATGACATGTCTGCTACGTTCCTGGGTCCTCAAGTTTGCAATTTAGACCAATTAAGTTTAAGGTCCCTTCGTCCATTTGCTTACTGGTAGCATTAACAATCATTCTTGCTATTTTTATTGCTGAGATGGAATTCGACTTTGGCTGTGTTTGAAAATACTAGTTATATCATGTATTTTTAGTTTATTTATTTATTTAT